AATCTGGGCATAATATGTGGGGGCTTTCCGGGATCCCCAACACCATTGAGGGACCCCCAGTCCGAAGGGCCTGACTGACTGCGGGAGGTGTCTGTATCATTGTGTGTTTTGTATCTGTCCTGTGTGAGCTCACTTCTGAAATCTGTAATCGCCTGCAATGATATAAGTGGACGCACAGGGGGATCAAGAGCAGGAGGATTTGGGGGATGCCTCGACCCTCCATCTGGAGGGGTGTAGTTTTGCTTCTGCGGAGTTGGAAGGTCTGTAGGAAACCCCTCAATCTGAGACAGGTTGGTCGCTCCCAGTGGTTGGTGTGCAGCCACTGGTTGGTGCGCAGCCATCATTTTCGGTTTTTGCTTCCATGGAGTTGGAAGGTTGTTTTGGTTTCACTTCCATGGAGTTGGAAGGCTGTATTTTCGGGCCCTCTTAGTTTTCTGTGTTTGTATGTTTTTTCTTTTTTCCTGTGGGTTTACTGGATGGATGTTATAGGATGGACTTGGACTGCTCCTTTGGGTATTGTGATTGATCATTTCAAGGAGATTGGGGGAGGCTGTAGAGCTCCCTCAGGAGTTGGGAAGTTGTTATTGTTTAAAAGCTGAATGAATGTCTGATGAAAGTATGTGAGTGTGGAGGGAGGGGGCCTGCCTTCTCCCCTCCTTTGTGTGGCTCCAGGATTTAGGTAAGGTGGGCATCTGAGTAATGATCTGTGAAAACAGGTCACTCCCTTCTCAAGTAAATGCTTCTGGGATTTCTGTGCACATGTAAGGAGAAAAGCTGGCTTAAACCTAACGTGCACACCATTCGATTTTGGATAAAGTTTTGAGCTGGAATCTCCTTGCAGATGTGGAGGATAGATCCCAATACTAATCATTTACCTTTGGAAAAAATATATGCTAGCTAGATTCTAGCAGCCGGATTTGCATTTCCATAATAAAGAACAGTTTTTACAAGGGAAAAATGGTCCTTTGTTAATTAAGAAAATTTTTCTTAATGGAGGGAGGTGATAATAGCCTCCTGCCTGTAGCATCTGTAAAAACCAGGTAGGCCATAACCTGCTTTGCAAGGCTCAAATGTAGTTTTCCAGAGCCGCTTGACAGTAATATTGAAAAATGCTGAATATTTCACTTGCCAGCTAAAGTTTAAGGTTCGGATTGAATCGGTAAAAATTGTGTAATTGTGGTAACTAAATGCCTTTGCTTATTGGTACAGCCACGATTTTGGTCTGCATGACTTGGCAGCTGCCAGGTCAGCCACATGAATTGCCGCTCTGCTGGGGGCCACCATCTTGAAACAGCAAAGGCCCCTCTCTCTAATTTAGTCAGGGCTGGAGCTTTAAGGCAGAGTTTTTCTGCAGAAATGTGGATGGGGCAGGAAGTGTGCTTGCCTCGCAGATTTGTTTTTAAGATAATCTCTTCAATCTAGAACACCCTGCTTTCCTTGAACTAAAAACAATTAAAGGTTATGTCAAAGACTTTAAAAGGGATTGATAGCAGTAATCCAATCTCTAAAGTCAGATAGAAACTGTGTTTTCAAACTGATCTTAAAGGGCATATTTTTCCTTTGCCTGAGAGGGACAGTGCAGCTGTCCCAGGGTCGGGAGGGCTCCAGCTAACTTGCAACTCAGTGTTCAGGAGACTCTGGATATGCCTAAGTTTAACCTAGGTTCTAGATTATGTGTTTACCCACAGCTGTGGTTTGGATTGCATGCTGTCTATGCTTCTGTAAACTGATCTGTCCTTATTGCTTAAATATGTATCTTTGTTGTTTAAAATTGTTTAGTGAAATTTCTGTGTCTCTTAAAAAAAACTTTGAATATATTGTTAATCTGAGGAATGTTATTTACATGTAACCTAGAAATTAAGGCTAAAAGTTCTAACTAACTGGAAAGCGTGGTTTTGGTGTGATGGAAGGAAAAAGAAATGTTGAATAAATAATAGGCCATTAATCTGGAACTGGTCACTGGTGGGTGATTGTGAGAAGGCCTGGACACTGCTTAACTTCTCCTTTCTTGGTACCCCTGAAACATCAGAGGGTACTTCTGGCCTTGATTTTCTTGGTTTTTGGTTTTGGATTTGTTTGTTTGTTTGTGATGAAAACCATTTCTATCTGAATGAGACATAGGTCAAGAATCCTGTCCTGGGATGTGGGAAAGAAAGGCCCCCACATCTGTTCCTGTCAGGCCCCCATCAGGAGACTTGGGAGTGGTGTACCTGTTATCTGCTCAAGAGCCCAAGACTGTAAAGATAATTTTTCAGTCAAAAGATATAATTATAAATGTTTATTTGATGTTTATAAACATCTCTGTCTGTTTGTTTGCTGGGAACTTTGATTTGCTATGTGATATTCTGTGCTGGGTTGGGATTTTAGAATTCTGGGGTAATATTAAAAGGTATTTGTGGCTTTTCTAGTCTGATTGGGACGTTTAAGGGTGGGGCTCACAGTTCCTCAAGGCAAAGATTTAATGGGCCCTTCCCCCTGCCTGTGCTGAATTAGATAATACAGGCCAGTGTCATTTGGCTTGCTGATTAAAGGAACACAATGGACCCTGGAATCTGTAAAGATGTGTGGGAATGAAGCTGGTCGAATGTACTGAAAGGGTTTGGTACCTGTTGCTGCTAGCAAAGGAGGGGCTGATATCTCCTTCTAGCGAACTCCCTTGAAAGAGGCCTGGTTGCTCCTCTGCCAAAAAGGGCACAAGTAACGCAGGTAGTAACCAGAGCTATTGGGGCAAATAGGAAATTACATTGTGCTTATAGACCTCAAAGTTCAGGGCAGGTAAAAAGGGACCATGGAAACTGGCAGGGACTTGGTGGCTATGCTATCATGTTTGGCAGGCCAGCCCCTATCATTCCTAACCTTAAAGCTGACATTCTTGCTGCAAGAACTATCTCTTTCTTTGAGAGGGCTCCAGAAGGCATGCGAGGACACTCCAAAGTCCATGTTGGACAACAGCAGCTTCCCCCAGATCATCAGGCCAGTGTCCGTGCAGAAGGCCCTGCGGAAGCGGTCATGTTGCCACTTGTCAGGAAGCTGAATTGGCCTCTGTAGGGTGCCGGCCGGTTCCTGACACGACCAAGGGCTGCCCTGTTCTGGAATGGCCCACCGTCCTGGCTCTCTGGAGCTGCGGCCTGCGCTCTGCCACCTCGGCCTCCCTGGGAGTCAGCCATGCCTCGGGCCTGGCCTAGATCCCTGCCCCTGCTGCAGCCGTGGCCGTGGCCCGGCCTCGGTCCCAGCCTCGGTCCCTGCCCCGCCCCCACCCCCGCCCCCACCATGGCTGCGGCCCCAGCCATGGCCGTCCCGCTGGCTCCGGTCCAGCCGAATGATGTCGTCCAGTGACATGTGGATTTTGTCGGCCATGGCGGGCCCGAATCAGCCTCGGATCGAGCCCGTGCGGAGGCACGCAGGTCCTTCACTTCCCATTAGGCGTCGGGGCCGTCCCTGATGTTGGTGTCCAGGCCCGGGGGTTCCCAAGGGTGTGGACGAGTCGGTAAAGAAGAAATGACACCGAGACAGCATTCAGTGGATCAGAAGCCCAGCCAGGCTCTAGCCAGGTGCTCTAGCGGCTTCTATGTCCCAGTACCGGGTCTTGGCGAGACCTCGCTCCTGAAAGCTCCCTTGGAGAATGAGGACGACGACCACGACCACAAGCCTAGGGCTGAGAAGCTCTGCAAAGAAGGCCCTGCTTTCTTTCATAGCCCCAGAGCTGGTGGGAGGAGCCAAATCATCCGGGCGCTCGACCAATCAGCCGCCCCCAGGACTGAAAACTTCACCAGTTGGTCGTCAGGTTTAGCGGAGGAGGCTTGCATTGGCGATCCAAGACCAGTAGAGGGCGCCAGTGGCCCGCCCAAGCAATTCACCGGGCTTGGGAAGGACTTGGGAGACGAGACGGGGCAGGTGCCCTAGGAGGCCCGCAGGGCTCCCTCTCCACGCCTTGCAGGACGGCATCGCCGTTTTTTCTCGGTGGAAGAGGGGACAATACATACTTAGACAGGCTCTGGTGGGCCCAGGACGTGCCAAAAGGAAACAAAGCCATGGAAAATCTCCTAGGCGTGACTCACTCGGCAAATGTCTTGTTAGTGGACCTTGTGCTTCCGTGTGTGTGGCGGGAGGACGCGGTGGGAGAGGGGGGAGGCGGGCAGGATAGGTGTGTGGGTGTGAGTGTGGGTGTGGGTGTGAGTGTGGGTGTGGGTGTGGGAGTGTGTGTGTGCGCAAGCGTGTGCGTCTGTGCGTGTACATCCGAAGTCACGCAGGGACACTCCTTGCTTTGAATGGTCCGTCGCCATCCATGAACACCCTTCAGCCCCTGCCGTCTCAAAGAAAATAACCCTGCATGTCCTTCCCGCCTCAGGTCTAGCCAAAAATGGGGAAGTCCAGTCACCTGTATGTGCTTGCCCCACAGGAGGTTGCAGGAGGGGGGCTTGCATTGATGCTTATCGACCAGCAGAGGGCGGGACAGGCTTTTCGGCCCCTGCCCCAGTCCACCCAAATTCTGTAATCCACAGCAAAAGATTACCTCCTGGCCTGTCTATCTGATCCACACCAGCCCACACCCACCCCTCACCCCCCACCTGCCACCCTCCCCCCACCACGCTCACTCTGTGGATGGATGGTCAGGCCCCTGCCCAGAGACCAAGTCCAGGCCTGGCCACCTGGGCTTGCCAAAGCCTCAGAAATTTGAAAAGCTGGAACAACCTTTTTTCTGAGGAGGGTTGTTGTTGTTGTTTTGTCGGAGGGAACGAGTTATTTTGTTTGTTTGTTTGTTTGTTTGTTTTTCCTACACGTTTTCGGTTGATTATGGCCAAGGTGAAAACAGCAACCGGTAAAATGAATCCCCAAAATGCCTCTGTACAAAACAGGTTTTTTTCAGGGTTATTTAATGAAATAAAAGTTAACGAAAAATCCCTATAGGAGTTTCAAATCCTATTTCAAAACAGAAGAAACAATTCCATCATTGGCCACAGCTCTCTGGCCAACCTAGCACACACTGACTTGCTGAAGCTTTAGCTGGTGTCCATCATCACATCGTAATCGTCCAGCAGGGCGTCCATCTCCTTGCAGTCTATCTGGCCGTCCAATTCCTGGGTATCCATCATCGCATTGTAAGTGTCCAGGATGGCGTCCAACTCCGAGGTGTCCCTCAGGGAGCTGTAAGCGTCCTTCTGGCGTTCATCTTTTTGGTGTCCCTCATCGAGTTGTAAGCGCCCTTTTGGGCGTCCAACTGCTTGGGACCCCTCATCGCTTTTTAATTGTCTAGCTGGGTGTCCAACTGCTCAGTGCCCCGCATCGGGTTGTAAGCGTCCTTCTGGGCGTCCAACATTTAGGTGCACCTTATCGAGTTGTAAGAGTCCACCTGGGGGTTCAACTCCTCCCCCAAGATCTGTCGCTTTGAATGGCGATAAGTCCGCCTGCCTGTATGCCGGTTGCCACCGAGGGCGCGGTCCTGAGTGCAGCTGCTGAAGGCTCCAGAACCTCGGAGTGTGTGCGTGTGTGCCTGAGTGCTTTTTCACATTGGTGCATAGGGGAGGGGAGGGGTGGTGGGGGGGCGGGCGGGGCCCTCTGGGAGGCGCCATCATTGATTAGTCCTTTGACCCAGCAGCTGCCCGCGCCTGTCCTAGGGCCTGGCAGAAAAGGGTGGCCAGACAGCCGTGGCCCTGCCCTCAAGAGGACTCGGTAGTGTGCTGTTGCCCAGGGGCCATTTATGAGAATCCATGTGAGAGACGATGACCTGCGTGATGGAATGCCAAAGGAAACCACACTGTGAGATCTCCTTGCTAGATTCAGCTCGCCATCTGAACTGCCTCTTCCCATGTCAGGGTGTCTTCTCCCCTAACTGGACATGATTTTTGCTTCCTGGGAGTCCATTGGCCTCCACGACAGTTGACGGCCCTGACATCCACAAGGGATAACCAAACCGATTTCTTGGTTTGTAAATTGGGACTGGACGACCCCCACTGCATGATGTCTGAAAGAAAAACAGGGTGTGTAAAGATCCAAAAAAAAAGAAGTGTTTAGAACTCTGTCTCCTGGCCCCACTTAGCAGAGCCATAGAATGATGTCCCACAATGATTTTTCAGTGAGAGCCCTTGTCATGCCCCAATGAACTTGCCTGAGCAAGGTCGAGTCATGCAGAGGCATCTAGCACCTGAGGCAGAAGATCTTGGCTGTGTCTTTAGCAGATCATGTTGAAGAAACCATAGACGGAGGGAGCTGCCATGTTTCCAAGCAGCCATTGGGGAAAGGGTTGTGTGAACCTGAATATATGCGTTCGAAACTGCATAAGGATAACCAACACACCAACACTTTGCTTCTTTCACAACAGATTTTCTTGTTCAAATATGGGCAAGCATTGCTGTCCTGAAAGATGAATTTCTTACAAAATTCTACATTCAAAGTTGCCAGATCACCGTAGCTCCCCGCAATTGTGGCCACAGTTCTATAAACAACTTTCATTTCCACAGACATTTCATTACTTTCTCATCTGTGTGTTCAAGGGCTCTTTACAAGTGTTCACACAGGGAGATGCAAACACACACACACACACACACACACACACACACACACACACACTACACAGCACACGTGCCCTCATATTTTCTAATAGAAAAAAAACTAAGTAGGTGTGTTTCCATTTGGAATTGCTGTATCCTTGGTGTGGGATATTTTAGATTGAGTAAGAAATAATTGGTCAGCGAATGCCTCGCATTTGAGACACAGTGGTTTGTACACTGTGAATGGTCACCTACATGACCAGTGTTGTTTGATGAATAAAAGGTTTCACCTGATTTTACCCTGCATCATTTCACTCGAGTGAATAATGTGTAAAACTGCGTTGGTCTTCCATGATTCCCTCTCCATTGTTGAGTTCCGTCATGTTTTCTAAGGGAAGGACATGACTGGAGGATTTTCCACATAGGTGACATGCCTAGGGCTCTTCTCCCATGTAGGAACTCTGGTGACTGATGAGATTTGCATGTTTACTAAAGGCGTTCCCACACTGAACACATTCACATGGATTCTCTGTGGTGTGCTTTATGTGGTAACATGTCGTCAGCTCAGACTTTTGACGAAAAGCCTTCCCACACATGGGACACACATGTGGTTTCTGCCCCGTGTGCATTCTCCGGTGCTGGTTCAGGCCAGAGCTTTTACTAGTAACATTCATAGCATTGCTTGCCTGGATGGACTCAATCCTGCTTTTCTGTGGTAAGATTTTTGATTGAGAGCTTTTTCACATAGGGGACATTCATGTGGTTACTCTCCTGTGTGGATGGCCTCATGCTGTCTCAGGAAAGAACTCTGACTGAAGTCTTTCCCACACTCAGGGCACTCATAAGGCTTCTCTCTGTTGTGCATTGCATTGTGGTTTCTAAGCCCAGATCGTTGCAGAAAGCCTTTCCCTCTTCCATGACATTCACATGGTTTCTCTCTTGGGTGTGTCTTGTTCTGTCCTCTGAGGTTGAAAACATTCCTGAAGGGTATACCAGTGTCACACTGTGTTGTACCTGTCATTGCATCTACTAAGGCATTCCTCTAGTCCAGGTGACTTTCCGCACTGTTGGCTGACATCTGGTTTCTTTCTTACATGAGCTGAGGAATGTGAAGACTCTGCTGATCTATGAGTAAATTCATCACTCCTATCAGCCCTTGGCACCCTTCTTCTCAAAGCTGTGTAGAGCTTGCATTTTCACGGCATGGTGGCAGCAGAGGTAGGATTTTGGATATGTTCTGAAGTCGTCCAGGTCAGGGAGGGCTCCTCAGATGGGGTTGGGGTCAGCATGGACTGAGGGATCCTGAGATGGGCACTGAGGCTGCTGAAGGATGACAAGGGAGGGTCACTTTTGGAAGGTGAATTCCTAAGGGCTTTTAGGGTCCCTGAGTGTGGCGATGACCTTGACTGTGAGAGAGGGATTAGGCAGGGACCTACAGGTGGAGCCCAAACTACTGTCATTTCAAGGAACATCAGACTCCATTCTCCTCTCAGGGTCCTGAGCTTTGTGGCACAACCATGATGCCAAGCATGATCTGACATGATCAGAAATGAAACCCAATCACAAGCACGACATATTGTGCAGAATTTTTTCGTGTCTGATAAAAGTAGATGCAGCGGAATTTAATAAATCATTTCATACAGCATAATACATACAATAAAATACGTAAAATAACCCCTCCCACCAACAAGACGTGATGCATCTTCCTGGTGTTCAATGATACTGCGAGAAGGGGTTGTATCCTCTGAGTCCAGGGAATGCGTTGGGAAAAGCAGCAGGAAGAAGTGAGTCGCAGAGGTGCACACTCCGAAAGTTCGCCCAGTCCTACGGGCGCCAGAGCACGCTGCCTGGAGTAGCGTGGAGGCTGGGCTGGGTCCTTGGGAAGGTTGTGGGCAGCAGCTCTCCAGTGGGTCCTGCACCAGCAGCAGCTATTGCGCTCCCAGCGCTGTGAACCAGCAGCGATGTCACGTGCGCCCTAATGGGCTCAGCCTGGACCACAGTCGCAGCAGCCTAGGCTCTTCTCCAAGCGCAGGCGCAGTGGCCACCAAAGGGTGTTGGCGGGAGGGGGCGGGGTGCCGAGCCCAGGCCACCTCCCCAGGGTGGATGCTTAGAGGTTCTCAGACTCTGCAGGGAGCAACTGGAGCACCTGGAGGCGGAGATGCATTGACCGGCGCTCCTCGCACCCGCATGGGTGCACACCTTGGTCCCCTCTGGTCCCGGGGCATCTGCAGGACTTGGTGGGGACACACTCCCTCAGAGATCCAGTAACTGGAAGAGGTCCACGTCAGTCACAGAGTCGTATGCTGTCAGCCACCAAGGCGTGCCAGGACCTTGGGGAGGAGAAGGCCTCCTCCGCGGAGCAATCGGGTGAGAGCAGGTATGTGGAATCAGGTTCTGGAGAGAAATGCCCGGCTTCATCGGGGCATTGAGGCGAGTCTGTGGCCTCAGATGGAGCCAGAGCAGGAGCGGCAGCAGGTGCAGCAGCCGGGACCCTGCCCTGGACGCCTTGCACAGGGTCGCATCAGGCTCGGCTGTAGCTGGAGGCGCTGCGATCTGATGCAGGGAAGAACTGCAAGGGTCTGTGCGGATGGAGGCTGCCGAAAGCCGGGCCCCAGTGGTGCACTGGGCGGTGGGGAGCGCAAGGCTGGTGGGGAGCACAGGGCCAGCGAGGAGCATAAAGCCGGCAGGGAGCATAGGACCCGCCGGGAGCATAGGACTGCCGGGAACACAGGGCCAGCAGGGAGCCAAGGGCCTGCAGGGAGCACTGAGCTGGCTGGGAACACAGGGCCAGCGGGGCACACAGGGCCAGCGGGAACACTGGCTTCTCAGGGTGCAGAGGAATTGCGGGAAACACAGGGCTGGCAGGGAGCAAAAGGCCCTCCTGGCACGCAGGGCCTGCAGAAGAGGGCACAGGCGCGGGCTGAGGGGCGCAGACTGCCAGTTCCTGGGGCACAGCCTGGCCTCCCTGGCCTTGCTGCTTGCGCAGTCGCTGCAACCTTTGCTCTTTGGCCCTGCGGTTCTTGAGCCACACCTTCACTTGGTCCTCCTGCAAGTTAAGCCTGGCCGCCAGGGTCTCGCTTTCCTCATAGGTCCCGTAGGATTTCCCCTCAAAGAATTCCTCCAGGACGCACAGCTGCTGTGCGCTGAACACCATGTGGGGCCGCCGCTGGCGCCACAGCCGCGTCCTCTTCCTCGGTGGGCTTGGGGACAATGGGGAGCCGGTGGGAAACCCGGGGTCTTGCATCCTGGATGCTCCTTGGCCCTCAGCACTAGGAGCTCTGCCAACAGCCCTGCGAGTGCCGCCTTAAATAGCTGGTAGGCAGTTGCCACCCAGTGGTCCCAACGAATGGGGCTCTAGGCAGCGCTGCTCACAGGCCCCGCCCCTTGTGCAGGTGTGTGTGTACATGCCTGAGTGCATGCGTGCCTGCTTTTTTGCTCGCCGGTGCATAGGGGTGGGGTGGGGTGGGGTCGGTTGGGCGGGGCCTTCGGGGAGGCCCAATCATTCATTAGTCCTTTGACCTAGCAGCTGCCTGCGCCTGTCGTAGGGCCTGGCAGACATAGGTGGCCAGACAGCCGTGGCCCTGCCCTCAAGAGGACTCGGTAGTGTGCTGTTTCCGAGGGGGCATTTATTAGAATCCACGTGAGAGATGATGACCTGCGTGATGGAATGCCAAAGGAAACCACACTGTGAGATCTCCTAGCTACATTCAGCTCGCCAACTGAACTGCCTCTTCCCATGTCAGGGTGTATTCTCCCCTAACTGGACATGATTTCTGCTTCTTGGGAGCACGTTGGTCTCCAGGACAGTTGACGGCCCTGATGTTCACAAGGGATAACTCAACAGATTCCTTGGTTTGTAAATTGGGACTGGAGGCCCCCTGCTCTATGATGTCTAAAAGAAAAACAGGGTGTGTAACGAACCAAAAAAAAAAAGAGTGTCTAGAACTCTGTCTCCTCGTCCCCTTAGTAGAGCCATAGAATGACGTCCCACCAAGATTTTTCCTTGAGAGCCCTTGTTATGCCCGAATGAACTTGCCTAACAAGGTCGCGTCATACAGAGGCATCTATCACCTGAGGCAGAAGATCTTGGCTGTATCTTTAGAAGATCGTGTTGAAGAAAACATTGACGGAGGGAACAGCTATGCTTCCAAGCAGCCATTGGGAAAAGAGTTGTGTGAATCTGAATGTATGTGTTCAAAACCGAATAAGGAAACTCAACACACCAACACTGCTTCTTTTGCAACAGATTTTCTTGTTCAAATATAGGCAAGCATTGCTGTCCTGAAAGATGAATTTCTTACAAAATTCTACATTCAAAGTTACCAGATCACCGTAGCTCCCCGCAATTGTGGTCACAGTTCTATAAACAACTTTCATTTCCACAGACAATTCATTTCTTGCTGAGCTGTGTGTTGAAGGGCAATTTACAAGTGTGTTCACAGGCAGATTCGCGCGCTCACGCGCGTGTGGACACACACACACACACACACACACACACCACACACACCTACACACACCCACAGCACACATGCCCTCATATTTTCTAATATAGAAACAACTAAGTATGTGGGTTTCCATTTGGGATTGCTGTATCCTTGGTGTGGGATATTTTAGGATGAGTATGAAATAAGTGATCAGCAAATGCCTCGCCTTTGAGACACAGTGGTTTGTACACTGTGAATGGTCACCTACATGACCAGTGTTGTTGGATGAATAAAAGGTTTCACCTGATTTTACCCTGCATCATTTCACTCGAGTGAATAATGTGTAAAACTGCGTTGGTCTTCCATGATTCCCTCTCCATTGTTGAGTTCCGTCATGTTTTCTAAGGGAAGGACATGACTGGAGGATTTTCCACATAGGTGACATGCCTAGGGCTCTTCTCCCATGTAGGAACTCTGGTGACTGATGAGATTTGCATGTTTACTAAAGGCGTTCCCACACTGAACACATTCACATGGATTCTCTGTGGTGTGCTTTATGTGGTAACATGTCGTCAGCTCAGACTTTTGACAGAAAGCCTTCCCACACATGGGACATACATGTGGTTTCTGACCTGTGTGCATTCTCCGGTGCTGGTTAAGGCCAGAGATTTGACTAGTGACATTCATAGCATTGCTTGCCTGGATGGACTCAATCCTGCTTTTCTGTGGTAAGATCTTTGATTGAGAGCTTTGTCAAAGAGGGGGCATTCATGTGGTTACTCACCAGTGTGGATGGCCTCATGCTGTCTAAGGAAAAAACTCTGATTGCAGGCTTTCCCACACTCACCGCACTCATAAGGATTCTCTCTGTTGTGCATGGCATTGTGATTTCTAAACCCAGGTCCTTGCAGAAAGCCTTTCCCTCTTCCATAACATTCACATGGTTTCTCTCTAGGGTGCATCATGTTCTGCCTTCTGATGTTGAAAACACTCCTGAAGGGCATCCCAGGGTCACACTGTGGTGTGCATGTCATTGTGTCTACTAAGGCATTCCTTTAGTCCTGGTGACTTTCCGCACTGTTGGCTGACATCTGGTTTCTTTCTTATGAGAACTGAGTAATGCGGAGACACGGCTTATCTATAAGTAAATTCATCACTTCTATCAGCCCTTGCACCCTTCTTCTATAAGCTGCGGAGAGCTCCCATTTTCTCAGCATGGTTGGGGGAGAGGTAGGATTCTGGACATGTTCTGAAGTCGTCCAGGAGAGGGAGGGCTCCTCGGATGGGTTTGGGGTGGGCATGGACAGAGGAATTCTAAGAGGGGCACTGTGGCTGCCGAAGGACCACAACGAAGGGGCACCTTTGGAGGGTCAATTCCTAAGGGCTTTTAGTGCCCCTGAGGGTGGGGATGACCTTGATTGTGAGAGAGGATTAGGCAGGGACATAGAGGTGGTGCCCAAACTACTGTCATTTCAAGGAACATCAGACTCCACTCTCCTCTCAGGTACCTGAGCTTTGTGGCACAACCATGATGCCAAACATGATCTGACATGATCAGAAATGAAACCCAATCAAAAGCACGACATATTGTGCAGACTTTTATTAGTTCGGGATAAAAAGTAGATGCAGCAGAACTTAATAAATCATTTCATACAGCATAATACGTACAATAAAATAAGTAAAATACCCCCCCAACAAGACGTGATGTGTCTTCCTGGTGTTCAATGTTGCCACGAGAAGGGGTTGAATCCTCCGAGTCCAGGGAATGCGAAGGGCAAAGCACCAGGAAGCCACGAGTCGCAGATGTGCACACTCTGAAAGTTCACCCAGTCCTACGGGCACCAGAGCAAGCTGCCAGGAGGAGCATGGTGGCTGGGCTGGGTCCTTGGGAAGGTTGTGGGCAGCAGCTCTCCAGTGGGTCCCACACCAGCAGCAGCTATTGCGCTCCCAGCGCTTTGAATCGGCAATGAGGTCATGTTCGCCACAATGGGCTCATCCTGGAGCACTGACAAAGCAGCCCAGGCCAGCCATCATGCTCATGCACAGTGGCCACCAAAGGGTGTTGGCGCTGATGTCTCAGCTCGGCCCTGGCACTCCGGAGGACGCCGACATCCCCGCGAAGAACCCAAGCCGCAGAGGCAAGCCATGCCTCCATGCCTCTACCTGTAATGGCCACCACAGTCCACCGATATTGTATGTAAAAAAGTTTCTCTCACCCCTCCCACTGTGGAGTCGCTGGCTGTCTGACCAACAAGTTGCTGGGCTGCAGGGAGGGAGACTTATATACACCAAGGCGGGAGGGCTGAGCTAATCAGAAGCCACGCTAGAGAGGCCCCGCCCATTGCAGCGGTGTGATTGTTGGATTCCCGGTGGAAGAGCCTGTCCGAGGCTCCGCCCCCGCCTGCCAGCGCCCAACCAGCTCTTACCTTTGGAATAGAAACCGACAGGATTCAAATCACCTGGTATAAATACAGACGTCCCAAGGCAAGGAGACACAGAACCTGGCTGGGGAACCTAACCAGAACTTGGCTGGAGATCCGAGACAAAACTTGGCTAGAGCAATTAGGAAGCAACTTTAGAGTGAAGGAGCGCTCGCTTCGGCTTCCTGGGCGGCTGATTCAAAGGGTTTGTTTTTTCTGCCCGGCACCTGGGAAGAGCGGCTGCAGTACCGGCCATGCTGTCCCAGAGCCACCAGCGCCGCCGCTGCAGGGAGACCCTGCAGGTGCTGCGCAGCTCCCGCAGAGGTCGCCTCTGCTACCGCTGCGACTAGCTCCTGCGGGGCGACGATGTTTTAGAAGAACGTGCGTCCACTCCCCAGCTATCTTCTTACGCCAGATGGGTGGTAGATTATGTCCTACCCCACACACAAGAGAACCTGTCTGCCTCAGAGACTTCGACATCCTCTAGCTCCACTTCAGGCCTGGACCAACCTTCATTTGTTTCCAGGTCTCCCATAAGAAGCCTTGCCTTCTCACCAGCATCCCCAAGGACACCAGCAACACCAGGTAGGACCAAGGGCACACGTGAGTCCCTGCACACGGAACCCATGTTACTTCGGTCCTCCAGGGGCATCGAGGTGGAAGGCTGCATCCGAATGTATGAGCTAGTGCACAGAATGCAAGTAACAGAGGGCCTGAGGCTGTGGCAGGAGGAGCAGGAGAGGAAGGTGCGAGAGCTCTCTGAAATGGCATCTGAACAGCTGAAGCGTTTTGATGAACGGAAGGAATGGGAGCATCGCAAAGAATTCCAGGACTTGAAGGAAGTGCTGGAAAAGAGCTCCAGAGAAGCCCTGGGGCAGCAAGAAAAGCTGAAAGCTGAGCATCGCCACAGAGCTGAGATTCTCAACCTGAAGCTGTGGGAGGCAGAGCAGCAGCAGCTGTGGAGGGAGGAAGGCCAGCTCCGCCTGCGGAGTCTCTATGTCCTGCAGGAGGAGCTGCTGCACCTCAACCAGCAGCTGGACTCCGTGGGCCAGCACAGAGACCCGAAGGTGGACCTGCTGGCCTTGCGGAGCTGAGGCAACCAGCTGCGGGGCCTCAACTCAGGGATCATTCGGACCTCCTCGGAGAACGGCGTTCCCACGGCAAAGGACCAAACCGTGGCCGAGAGCGCGCTGCAAGAAATGCGGGACCTCCTGACGGACGCCAGGGCATGTGAAGAAAAGAGGAGGAGGCAGGATGAAGAGGAGGCCCGGGTGAAGCGGCAAGAGACACAGGTGTAGCAGAGGCCAGAGGTCCACAATGAGTGCCCCGCTCCCAGCCAGGGCCCGGGAGGGACACGGAGTGAAGGCCTCCAGGTGAAGGTCCAAGACAGTACAATGCAG